GCTCTATGTCTGCTTCACACCATGAACAGTCTGCCCTGATGAGTCTCAAGTCTGAAGTATGAACTGTGAAAATATTAATATGGAACAACAGGGTGGAAGCATATCAGGCTTAGTTATATTAAAATCTCATTCGTGCCTGCAGAGCTCTACTATAAGTATGAGCTCTTAATATTTTCCCCTTTGCTTTTCTAAAGCAGCAGGTATTAGGTCTGATGGGGCAGGTAACTATGCCAAGGCAAATGAAGGCTTTTTTATGGAAAAGTACTTTCTGTCAAACATTCTCTCAACAACTGCATCCATTTTACCTATGTGAACAGAAAGCTATAAATGCTTACATTATGATCCCAGTGGATCTTTAAAAGTACAGACATGCCTTAGTTCTGCATGAATTAAACTTGTTTATTACTTTAGAGCAATTTTATCCAGTTAAATTGATCATTTTGCTGAATTAAATCAACAGGAATATATGTGAGAAGATCTTTAGACAGTGTCTGTTGTAGATTTGTAGCTGATTTTTTTAGTGATTGGCATGGAAGAAGTTCTGCAAAAAACATGTGATTGACAGTTTTGATTTCAACTGTACTATAATCACAGAGGGAAAATAAGCTCCTGAAAGAATCACACTTGCATTTCCATTTAACACAAATGTTCCAAGTCATTCTCTACTACCTAGACAAGTAAATACATGCTTTTCAGTTGGTTTATATCTTTTATTCTTAATCTCTCTACTACTATTACATTTGTGAGAGGATTTTGTAAGTTGTAAATGTATGGCAATGATTATAGGCACTGTTTAATTAAATGGTAGTATGCGACGTGAATAGAATCAATACAACTATATCAAAGCTCTGTTGAGGTTAGATTAGCAAGGGAGGTACCTTCTGCACAATTTTTGTTTAAATGCTGTGCAAGAGTGCAAGGTTCTCAGTGGGCTGGTTTTGTAACATGCTATGGTACAGTACTAAAAAATAAACAAAGTCAAAGGCCTGAACAAATTAAAAATGTATCATTACATTCTTAATACAGGTATTCCCTGCTATGTGCTGGGAATCAAAAGATAGATCTTTTTTCCCCCCATAAGGTTTAATATAGAACACAGAAGTTCTGATCTAGGCTTCAGATATACAGTCAATACTGTATATTTCTTCTTCACATAAGAAATACTTTAGTACATGTGAATAATATATTATGTTTTAAAACAGACTTTGTAATTGTTTATCTTGTCTTTATTGGTTTCTGTTGTACAAATTAATACTTTTTGTTTTTGTTTCACATAAAAAATAATGCAGTATTAAAAGGAATTGTTATAAACTGCTTATGCGATGTACATTGAATATTTATGGTATGTATTGTAATATGGTAGTTTGGCAATATGTACAAACTATACAGTATAAAGAGAGTATAAAAATGAAGTAGAAATGCTGTATTTTCAATACAATGTATTGTAGTTCTATGAGGTTTTGTAGTCTGCACTAAATACTGCCTTTGAAGAGACATATTTGTAAAGTATCAGGCAACAGAAATCGAATCTTGGTATATAGTGCCAATTTAGCAAGACAATCCAAATGATAAAATTAATGAATTTGTTATATTTGTGGTGTACCAAATGTGGAAATTCTTAGTCATACTTAAAATGTGTAGCTTAGATCAATATCAACTAGAGCATTCCAGAACCAATTTTGCTGCCAAAAAGCAGCATCCCAGTGCAAATCAAATATTGAATGCTTTCATAACATAATCATATATATGAAGCTACAGTATATACTGTCAGTCAAGCATAGTTGACTTCATGCTTTAGAAAATGAAATTTGCTGTCAAAAAAGAACTGATTCCTTGTTATATTTTTCATATAGCTTCACAAATATGTCTATAGTAATTCAAAGACAAAATGTAGTTCTATTTGTCTACTTTGTATTCAGTTAATTCAGTTATGGTATTCAGAACATTGTAAATATATGTAACCAGTGGGTTCATTTTAATTGTTTCACATTATGAGGTTGATAGCTTTCTTTCAGGACTAGCTTTCCTACAGCGGTGTACATCTCACTATGATGAAAACAAGATAAAGTAAAAAAAAAATAGAAATGATAAAAAGATGATTTCAGTGTGATGACTGTGCCTGTGGCAAAAGAATTTCTGGTGTGACAGTAATGTCCTTCATTTACACACAACTATAAAAGCTCAAGGGGATGTTTTCTAAACTCAATTACAGCACGCTAAGAAGAGTAATTATTTGACTCACCTTTCATTGTCACTAATAATCTGATTCTGTTGTACTGTTATTAATATTGATACAGTAACAAATAATATGTCATTGTCTTGTTATATGGATACTGTACATGCAGACCTGGTTACAACAATATCTTTATTGATTACTAGTACTAGTACTAGTGTTGCAAGTTTACTTAAGCTTATAACTTATAGCTTATATAGAAACATCATTGTTTTAAATTTCACTTCATTATAATTTAAAAGTGAAGATTTAAGAGAAAGTTATAATTAAGAAAACAATGTTGCTTGAGGATAAAATCAGTCTCTCTCATCTACATTCTGGACATTAGTTGACAACACACATTTAAAGACTGTTGCCAACATACTGTCTAATAAGCACATTATTTATCATATTTAAGATCATATTAATGTACATCCTTATTTGAATAAATTGATGATGAAACATCTGTTTTGCTGTTAGAACACCTTTGTAGATCCTCCATTAATACATAAGAAGTGACATGATTTTACTAGAATTTAAGAAATAATGCAAGGTCAATGAATATTTATGAGTTGGAAGTATTTCATCTTTTAATTTAGTTCCTTTGCTGGATATGGTCAGATTTACCAGTATGATGACAGTTTGTTTGGCTTTCTTTGCAAGCTGTGCAGTAAGATGACTGAGGTTGGTTCTTGCTCAAAGCACTTTTTAAACTTCAGATGATAACAAACTATTAACACAGAAGTTAATGTATCTGCAATTCATGTTCACTGAATACGAAACTACTCTGGAGGCTCATTTGCCCTTTTGTCGATCATTGATTGGCGAAGCAGAAACTAATTAAAAACATCATGATACTGGTATTAATCACCCATTTGGTTAATTTCAGTGTTGGAGAAAATATACATACCTTGAATACATAAGATACGATAAATAAAGCTAATAATAAATCTTCTGGATGTTAAATTTATTGCCAGATACTCAAAATCTCAACCTCCCTTGATTTGAAGTATATAGCAGTGGAATATTTATATAAAGTGTGCGTACTGAATGTGTATGAATGGTCTGAAGGTGAAAAACACCAGCAGCAGTGTAACAATACAATATCTTCTATATTTTTTTTTGATTCATGGATAAATAATACTTTGGTCATAAATAATAATATTCTGAAATGTTTAACAAGCCAATATCTTGAGCTTTAAGAGCAGTGGGTTTCATGTAAAATAAAGATTTTGTGTTCTATGTACAGAATGCAAAATGAACTATTTTAAAAATGGAATACCGAAGCTGACCTTTTCAACAAATAAAATGTGAGTGACCATGTGTCTCATTAAATAATAATATTTATCATACAAGCAAAGAAACATACTCATTGCACAAAGAATTCAGAGAAAAGCATGACATACTGTAAGTGTGCCTTTGCTTAAAAATGATTTTTTTTAATTGACATTTTAATTTTTGTGGTAGGCAACTCAGAACTGGCAATTCTGAGAAAAAGTGAAATTAATTGTATTTGAAGGCCCTAAGGTTACTGTGCATGTAAATCAGATAAGCTCTTTATTTTTTAGTGCAGGGAATACAGTGTTTGTTACTTTTGTTGCAGAAATTTGTAATCTGTTTATCATGTATGCTCTTTCATAGACTTCATGTACTATGCCAGTCATCATTCACCCTAAACCTACAAATCCTATCCTATAAGAACAGGAAGCAAGGTGGAAGTACACCCTAGACAGGACACCAGACCATCTCAGGCCATGTTTGTAATGGTACATACCGTATCTTCTTTAGGGAAAATTTAAATCAGATGACAAACACTGTTAACTTGGTATTTCATTGACCATGTACGTACTTCAGGCCAGCTTAGGGTCAGGGTTCCAAAAGCCATCCAATTTTAACTCTGTACTTCTGCTTCCACTTGAAATGACAAAGTTGAGACAGTTAACCCAATGGAATGGGTATTTAAATATTTTTTATCATGCTGAGTTTTGGAATTACAATTCCCGAACTGTGCAATAAAATGCAAGCAGTAATATATATCCCAAACAATCAAGTAGGGAGAAAAGAATCATTCTTCCTAAAGTTCAGTTGGTCTCCAAAAAAAAAGCATGAGGTCAACAAATGTCCTATTACTGTGGGAATGCTAACCCTAACCCTAGCTGGGGTTTAAACTGAGCAATCCTGTAATATGTCTATGAAGCCCTCCATTCATCAGATTTGAAAATGTTCCTAAAAAAAGAAGGTGAACCTAAAACAATCCATTCCATTGAGAACCTGAAAATACATCTGCTTCAATAACGTATCTTTTTCAGGCAAAGTTTTAATCAGATGAAAAACAATGTTAACATGGTTATCATCAATTACCTGAATGACGATGCATTTCAGGCTTAGGGTTAGGGTTGCAAGAACCATCCAGTTTTGATTCTATTTATACTTCTGATTCCACTTGAAATGACAATGTTGTTCTGACTCAGTTTTGGAATCATAATTCCTCAATTGTGCAATAAAATGTAAGCAGCCAAATCTATCTAAAAAAAAACAAGCTGGGAGAAAAAAAGTTCACTTGGACTTCAAAATACATCCCTAAGGTTAGAAGATGTCTAAGTATTCTGGGAATGCTAACCCTAACTCTAGCTGGGGTTTAAACTGTAAAATTCCGCAATCTGTCTTGTGAATACAATCTGATGTTCAATAATAAATCATGTCTTCATTGTTGTGAAGTTTATATTTGAACTGGAATTTCGATTCTCTCCTGTGGCTTAAAGTGTATTCTCTCTTTTTGACCTTTCAGAGCGAGGTTTGGAAAAGTGCACCGAGAAACAGAACGTGGGAGAGAAGAGAGCTGAGATGAACCACAGAGAAGGCTTTGGATTTCAGGAGTGAGGTTTGGGTTTGAGTGTGCAGCAGTAGCAGCAGGATTGGAACTCGCCTTCAAGAGTCTATCAGTTTCCCAGGGACACGTACTCAGAGAGAAAATCAACAGAAGGATGTGGGAAGGCCTTGGTCTCCAGGTGTTTCTTATGTGCTTGAGCGTGGCAGTTTGCAGCCATGCATCTGCACCTTTTGAGCACAGTCATCACCGACGACTTTCAATGCAAAGACACCGAGAAAGGGGAAAAGAGGGCCAGGTTCTCCACAGATCCAAGAGAGGCTGGGTTTGGAATCAGTTCTTTGTCATCGAGGAGTACACCGGACCAGATCCCGTACTAGTGGGCAGGGTAAGGTGATTTTCCTTAAATTAATTTTTTTATTTAGCTTTGAGTGAGAGATGGCTATTGCGGTGGAGTGGTGGCTCTGTGGCTCAGGATCTGTGCCTGTGGCTGGAAGGTTGCCGGTTGAAATCCCATAGCCAGCAGAGGAATCCTACTCCATTGGGCCTCTGATCAAGGCCCTTAACCCCAGCTGCACCAGGGGTGCTGTATAAATGGCTGACCTTGCGCTCTGACCCCAGGCTTCTCCCTATGTCTCATGGAGAACAAGTTGGGGTATGTGAAAAGACAAATTCCTAATACAAGAAATTGTATATGGCCAATAAAGCAATCTTATCTTATTTTTTTTTGCAGAGGTAGCTTCTTAAAATATCCCCTTCACCTTGGTCTTCACAATAATCTTACATTAAATTATAGTTATTAAGTTCAGGAGGGATAACAACAAAAGGTCAATTGCACACAGCTGTACCTAATCACTGTCATTATGGAAATTAGCTATTTACAGTGCCTTGCCAAAAGATTCAGACCCTTTGAAAGTTTTCAAATGTTGCTGGTCCACAAATGATACACATCTTTTTCCAATCAGTATTTCTTTGCAAACTCACATGTTCAAACAGAATATTTTAAAGGCATAATTAGTTATTTATCAGCAGATATCTTAAAGGAAGTCAAAACTTAAATATGCTGCACTGTATATCACATATAGTCACCTCCCATTTGTTCAAACATCCGTCCTACACTCCATCCCCCTTGCAGCTGCCACTTGGCTCACTCCTCTCTGGGGTTTGAGCTTCCTTTGCCTATGGCCAGGAGGCTAGCCATTAGCCAAGCGGGTTAAACCAAACCTATCTCACCACGTTTTCAATTGTTGGATGTTGTTGTCCCTGCTGAAATTCCTACTGTCCCTACAGTAAGCAAATAGAAATTACATTTAATCTTTAATAGTGGTATGATCCCCCAAAATGTTAATTTAAATGTCAAATGTTAAATTATTGAATCACGTGTTTAAGGAAATAACAAAACATGTTACAGAATACTTTTTTTTAGTTTTTCATGAAATGTTTAATTTTGCACTGAAATCCCTAGGGACAACTTGTCCAAATGATATAATCAATTGTTGACATTGGCATGTATTTCTGAGTATAAATCAATAAACAATAATCAATACTAAAAGGAAAAAACATTTGAACTCTTTGAGCCTTTTAACAAAGATTTAACATGTAGGTTTTTTTTTTGCATTATACATTTCCCAGATTTTAAAGTCCTCATGTTGAATACATTCATGTTTAATCAAAGTTTATGTCTTCATGTTTAATTTGTTACTATTAACATATGCTCTGTTAGGTTTGTATGCATCATAAGGTGTATCCTTTTTTGTCAAACTACACAACTAATTTTAATCAAATCTTTTTTCTGTTCTCTAGCTGCATTCAGATGTTGATGCTGGTGATGGGACAATCAAGTACATCCTTTCAGGGGAAGGCGCAGGGACCATTTTTGTTATTGATGACAAAACAGGAAATATCCATGCTACAAAGACTCTAGACCGCGAGGAGCAAGCTCAGTACACATTGACAGCCCAGGCAGTTGATCGTGACACCAACAAGCCACTGGAGCCTCCCTCTGAGTTTATTGTCAAGGTGCAGGACATCAATGACAACCCACCACAATTCTTATATGGCCCCTATCATGCTACAGTACCTGAGAATTCCAATGTTGGTATGTACTGACATCTTCTGAAAACTTGAGAATTTAAATTTGAATTCGAATTTTGTACATTTCTTTCAGTACATGACCCAATAAATTCCTGTTGGTCTTGTGTTCAGCACACTTAGGTACTTTAATTTGCATTCTTCCTGTGTGGATTTAGATATGTACACGTTTTCAATAGAGGTATGTAAAACAAATATTTGTTTGACAAAATGTAAGAAAGAAATTCTTAAGCATTTCATGTTTTGCTATAAAGATCCAGTCTGGTCATGTCTACTGAAATCCAGCTCTTGTTCTTTTTTGGTACAGACTGTGCACAGGACTCCCAGCCATATATCATCCTTAATGCAGCTCTGTCGCAGAGTAACGATCTGTTACTCAGTGATTCTGCCTGCTGACAATATAAATAATTCTTGTGGTGGTTCAGGATAGGATTCTGGTCCTGGCCAATTTAAATATATTTAGATCTGCAGCTTGCTGTAAACATTGTAGGCAAATTGATTTGAAATGATCAGACTTGGGGAATTAGTTTTGCTTCTTAGATTTCTTTCAGCCTTTCCATTGATGGACAACCAATAAACCCTGAACCATGCTCTAGAGGAGAAGTAGTTACATGGAGGGAATATTAATGACATAACATGCATTTTAGTTAATGAAACGGGGGCAGTTTAATCCAATAAATTTGGAGTGTTTTAAAATACTTGTTTTGAGCTGATTATATTTGTGCATGCACCATACAGAAAAGTGAAGCGGGTTAGATAAATGTTGCTTCTCAAAAGTTAAAACATTAACTTCGATCTATATCAAGATTCTACAAATAATGGTAAAATCTTTAAAGTAATAATATTCCAATACATAAGACTTTTAACATTTTAACATCAGTCTCATATTAGTATTTCAGTAACATTATAAAATAATGTTTTTATAGGAGGTACAAAGGCTAGAGTATCCATATATAATGAATTTGATAATATTTTGTATAATCATTGAATCATTGTATACTCATGTTTATCTTTGCATCAACAGTTTACAAAGCTGCACTGTTGGTGCAATGTTGATGAAGCTAGAGACATTTTTATCCTAAAAAGAAAACATGAAGTTACCAGAAACTTTACTTTTGGATTAATTTGCCACTATATTCAGCTGTAAGGTACAAATGGAGTAAAAGCTAGAGCTAAATAAATTAGAAATGTGTATTTATTTATTTTTTCCATTAAAAAAATACTGTCAGTTTTCATCTGTTTACTGGTGCAAATCTATTTTAGATCTTTCTCCCCTAAGAATTATCAGCTGAGCGCTGACTGCAACAAAGACAAATTTGCTCTCTCAAAAGATAATTTCAAGTCCATTGTTGGACAAATATAGCATGTGAGGTATACTTTTGTGTTCGACCTTACACAAAGTTGATTTGTATTCATACCTTATAATGTCAAGAGTTTTTCTAGTAATATCTATTTTCTTTTGTATTATAGGTACTTCAGTAATACAGGTAACAGCTTCTGATGCAGATGACCCCACCTATGGAAATAGTGCAAAATTAGTGTACAGCATATTGGAGGGGCAGCCTTACTTCTCCGTTGAGCCACAGACAGGTAAAGGAAAATTACTAGTGTCAAAATACCAATAAAACAATAGCTTTTCTCTTTTCATACTTGTATGAATTTCCAAAGCTTTCATCTGATTCTCTATCATTAGTTTACAGAATAACATTCACTTTACTTTGTAGTCCAAACATAAGGTGGAGATGTAAATTTATCACATCCAATGTTCACATCACATTCATGCTGTGCTTGTCTGAATTTCTTATCTTAAAGCTTGGCTACGTATTACAGTGCAACAGGTGTTCTGGAGAGTACAAGCTTACTTGAGGCATAATGATATTTCCAAATATATAAAACTATAACCAGAATATAAACTCACTGCTTTGTTTCTATGTATTAATACAAATAAGAATTATTACAAAATTATTTTGAACATCCAAATTAACCTTGAAAAACATTTACAAAATGCTATATACCCTCAGTTGTCAAGGAATAATAATGGTAAATAATAATAATAAAAAAATAATTGTAGAATCTTTAGAATAATCTTCCACTGCTTAGGTCATTTAACATTTTCCATGCTAAAACCAGCTGTTTGTTAGATTAAGGTCATGTGCCTCTCCTAAGAATGTTTTTATTCTCCAGGGATTATCAGGACAGCACTCCCCAACATGGACAGAGAGGCACGTCAGGAATTCAATGTTGTTATCCAAGCCAAGGACATGGGTGGACATATGGGAGGCTTGTCAGGGACAACAAAAGTGACAATCACTCTGACAGATGTCAATGACAACCCACCCAAGTTTCCTCAGAGTAAGTAAAGACTGTGGAAGTTTTCTAATTGAACATTTGCCTGCAATATGGTAGGAAACCAGAAGCTGAGTGATGTCTCATGCTACCTTGTATAAACAACTAGCTTGTTTACTGTATATGTTGTTTTGCAGGCCTTGGGAGGAAATGTAGGTTTGAAGGAAAAGTGTTTATATTTTTTGCAGACTTCAGGCATGTAGAAATATAGCTTGTGGTATATAGATGTTTAACATGTATTTGGAAGAACACATAAGGGATAAAACAGTTTCTTAAAATTAAATGTAAACCAAACTACAAGAAACATAGCCATTAAAAACTCCAAAGACAAGGGGATTAATATGCAATAATATAATTCTTTCTTCTCATGAAATGCATATAATAAACTATGTGTCTTAGGGTTCAATTAATGCTAATACTTTATATTTACAAGACTTATTTAGTTAAAAACATAATATAGAACTTAAAGTGCATACTGAGCTGGCATATTTTATTCTTTTAGTGTTTTAAAATCCCCCTCATCAATTTCTTTCAGTCCTTCTTTTGTGTTTGAATGCCTAGCAGAGGCCTTTTTCCCAAGAGGTAGTTTTTTTTCCATGATTTCAGCAGAAAAGCTCTCTGCTGTTGACTTCAACAAACTAAAATGTGTAAGTCATTTTCTGGGTACAATAACTGCAACTCTGCATTGTACCAGTGCTTACAAGAGTAGCAATTGTTCAAACAACTCCCTTAGATCTGCTGAAAAATTAGTTATTGGAATATGTTTGAGATGGGGTTTTAGTGATTTATTCTAGTCTTGATTTATGAGCAAATCATTTTCCCTACGTTTTTCAGCTGTACTTTTTCTATTGGAAATCTTGAGGAAAAGAGTGCTAAATCATTATTTCTTGAAATAATAAAAACACTACCATCACCTATATACATGTCTATAAATATTACAGTTAATGGAAAGTATAATTTATTATACCATTTTATTTTTATTGCTTTTTTGAAACACCAGGAGTAGTTAGTAGCTAAAGTATTGTTTTTGTTTTAAAAAATCTGCAAATATATGTGTGATATCTTGCTCATAGTGTCTGTGTCTCAGATTTATTTATCATGGTGACATGTTTTATTACTGCATAGTTAAAAAAGATACTGAGCTATGTCACCATTTTTAAACAGCCTGTGATCTTTTTGAAAAATATTTAATTTTAACAAAACATTTTAACTGAATCTGTGTGGAATTGCAGTTTGGTTGACAATGTCCATCTTATCTAAAAGACAAGGTGTCAGATAGGCACATGGATATAGTTTTTGGCACTAACTATTTAGGACAATATTGTACAACTATTTAGTACAATAAATATACAGTAAGTTGCTTTCATCACCTGAATAAAAAAAGCACGGAGCCATATGGTTTCCCAATGCCCAGGCTGCAAGCAGGTGTCTGAATCCATTCTGCTAGGTGTACTGTTATTGGCTCTAATAAACAGGTGCTGTACAGTATGTACTGTATGAAGCACCCTCTCCAACTGCTCTAGCAGGAATTAATGTGTCAATGTATCCATCTTTTTTTATCCCATTCTTTTTTAGATATTGGCTTTAAAAATAATAAGTTTGAAAGCTTAAAAAGTAACAGACACAACAAATTTATGAAGTGCATATTAGAGTTTTAGAAATATATCATGATCCCGGAATCTGTGAGTCTGTATGATCAAAGAAAAGTAGAACAATAGGACCAATTTAGGCATTAGAAATTACAGTTAGGATACTGGCACAGTATTGTAAGGATTCTTACTTGTTAAGAATCAATTCTAAGCATTACTCATCCCCTTTACTCATCTCAATTCTCCAGGTGTATATACTATGTCTGTTTCGGAGAATGCAGTTCCTGGTGAAGAGGTGGGCAGAATTAAGGCAAAAGATCCTGATCTGGGAGAGAATGGATTGGTTTCATATCGCCTGATTGATGAGGATAAGTTTGGCAATTTTGAAATCACTACTGATTCCCAGACTCGGGAGGCTGTACTGAAACTCAGAAAGGTAAATGACAAAAGCAGGTCTTGTCAGTATTTTACAATTTTAGGATGGTGTTATTTTTAAAAGATTATCTAGTAACCTCCTTAAATGTAGTATACAGTATATGAACCATATGTGCTCACAAAAGAAGCTTATCATTGCGGTGATATATGCATGTGTGTCTGTTATTGTGATCATAAACTGAAACCATGAAAAATCATTACCACCGCTCCTCCACATACAAAAATTAAGATGTACTCTGGAATTAGTATGTATACCTGAATGCATGTAGAGTTTGAGGAATTTCAAAACATCGACATTTTTCAAGGATCCAGTCTATGGTCATCACAGCAGCTTGCTGCTCTTCATACCCTACAGCTATAAGCAGTAGGTAATGCACAGAAGCAGCTATAAGCATCATAAAAAAGTAAAGGAATACTCCTTTACTTTTTTATGATGTCCCTGCTCTGTCCAGAACCACTGGCTCTATATTTCAGTAAAGGAATTTCTCAGGCTTCAGCCTCTGCTGCTGCACTGTCATGGTATAGAAAAAATGAGCCTCAGTCCACTCATACTGCAACACAAAAGATGATACAATGCCACCTGGTGGATTATGTTCATTTAATGCTTTTATTTTGTAGATTTTTCTCTACCTCCCTGGGTTGAAGATCTATAACAACCCCTTTTATTTTCACTCTTTTATTATGTCCACATCTATTAATGGTACCATACAGAATACATCCTTTTTTAGTTTTAAGCTTGATTCGTTTGAATGTAAAATTTTCTCCCTATAAGAAAATAATTTACCTTACATAAACAAAGATAAACAGTTCAAGTAGGTAGCTGTGTCAGCAAGCATAGGCTGCAAAGGAACAAGTAAAAGTGAGACACCTGGAGAAGGCTCCACAGCCAAAACATTGTGCTTTTTTTCTTCTCTTTTCAGCATGGAATAAACCTTTACTTTTTCCAAAGATAAACAGGTTTTTGTTAAAAATTGTCTGGGCCATTCAAGCCTTCTTAAAACACCAATTAAAATTAAAATTGGTAATGTTTCTGCCTATGTCCTGTTGGAACTTGTCTGCATCACTGTCTGCAAGCCTTTTAAGGGTCATTTACTGTAGTATAGTTTTTCCCACACTATAAATAAAAATGGACATTGTGATATAAAACAATCACCACTGACAGCTTCCAAGACTCCACCAGTAAAGGGCTCTATATCCGAGTTTGTTATGAGCCCTACAGTCTGGAATTTGTGAATTTTGACTATGTTATGAGATGACTATGATAGGAATTCCCTAAGTGCTGTGGAATAACATGAATCAGCTAGGTTAAGAGTGACCCATATGTTTTTCTGGGTTTATGTGAGACCATTTTTGTCAATTAGAGCTGCATTACTAACCCAAATGATGATAATTTAGCTGTGGGCATCTTACATTGTGAGGAGGAAATGGATGGTTCTGACAGCACATGCTTTTAAGAAAATTGTGCATGATCCTTATCTATCCCAATACTGGTTCAAAGGCTGATTAAAAATTGATGATTTCAAAGTGGGTTGTGTATGATAAAAAATATTTTTTTCTTCTAAATTTTGGAAAATATATAGAATAGGCGAAGAATCAAATACTGAATGAGAAATAATTTGATAATGAATGGAAGCAGAGAAATTGTTAGCAATAATGTGATAGACAGCAGGACTTGGCATGCCACTGGAGACAATACTCTCTGTTTCAGTACAGGCTACCACAGCTGATGATGATGATGACATAGACAATGTAGCATGCTGGCAACAATCACTTTGATGCCAAGATGCTACACTCAATAACATAATGCCTCTCTGATATACCTCTTGGGAAATCATCACCTTTTGCTCTTCAAAGCATGTTGAAAATTAAAGTTGAAATTACTGACGGAATTGCTGGGGTTTTAATCAAGTATTCTGTTTCAACTTCAGGCAGACAGTGCCACGTGAATATTAAGAGGTGGCCTCACATTATTGTGGATATTATCTGGTGCTGATTAGTTTCAGGGAACAAGTTATTAGGTGCCGAAATAAAGGATTGTTGAGGACCTCTTTTGTCAAGAGATGGGAGAAAGCAGCTTTAAACCTGCTGGATGAAGTAACTGGGTCACACTTGTTTTCAGTGTTGGCAGCTTTATTACCAAGACTGAAACAGAAAAGAAACTTAACAAATCACCACAAATCAAGGCAATACATGTTTTAGTGCCTCCCTCCTAAACCTTGATTCTCACTTTGCAATTTGCAAGTGAAAGGCAACTAGACTTTTAAATTGGAAAACACTGAACAAGCAATTACATGAATGGCAGGAACAGGATTTATTATTGAAAATGATTTGTCTCTTCTTTGAACCACCTTTTGTTTTCTTGTATAAAAGTTAAATCTCATAAATATATACTACAAGCAACTAAAAATAAATAAAAACCTTTTTAAATTCAGCTGTATATATATTCAGTGCTTTTTATGACAGAAATTAATTTGTTTTGTACATAAAGACTATGTGATCCAGAAGAGTATTCAGTCACTTTTTTGAGTCTTTCTTTTGGGTGATAGATATTAAATGAATTGAGTTTGTATTTTTTTTTATTTGTTATACTAAAACTGGAAAGAATTGGGTGGATATAAAACTTAAAGAATTATACCAATTGAGAAAAATCCATTTGTGAAAGTAAACAGAGATATTGAAAAAAATGTGAATGCTTTTCAATGCTAAAAGTAAAAGTAAGTGAGCGAAATTATATAAATGTATGTCTTTTTAACTTTTCTTATTAGTACCTTGTCCGGTTTAATTAGATGTGCTACTATTTTGTTTATTGACTTTCTAGAAACAGACAAAAAACGTTTTAAAGATAGGTCTACCTTTTACTATTACTTTGATCTCTGCATAACTTATAATATTAGTCAAAAGAACATGCTGCTGCAATCGCAAACAAAAGCTCTCTGTATCCGAATGTCAGAAGACATTAAAATTTCAAATAAGAAAACAGAAAAGGCAGCCTATGAGTTCCATATTCCTTTGGTTTCCGGGCTTAGTTGATGTAGGAAAAATGAAATAGTAAGTGCTTCCCGTAGACAAACATGACTACTGGTGGTTGGGCTTTTTTGAAACATATCAGCCTTACCTGTTTATAAGAGAAGAATGTCTCCACCACTAAAGACAAAAAGCTTTGCTATTATACACTGACACACATTTATTAAATTAATTGAATTTTCTAAGCCAGTACACTTTTAGAGTCTACTAACTATAAGAGTTTACTTTTTCCTCCATTTGCCATTCACTGCATTTCTCCTTTCTTCATTCCAAAAAACACCAGACCCACTGACCTTCTGATAGACTTCAGTGAAGGAGACTATGCCCGTGTTGTGTTGTAGTAAAGCTAATACACAGACTAACATTTTGATTTTGATTTTCCTTTAACTCAGTTTCTAATTAAACAAAAGTCTTTTGAAGGAATAGGCATTTCCAGAGTATTTGCAAATCTTCTTGCTTTATAGAGATTCACTCTGTGTAAAAGTATACCACCAAGCTCTTAAGATTATTCCTGTATTCCCTAACATCTGTAACAGTGTTAGCTAGTAGCTGTAGCTATCTTGAGAAGAAATACCTTCAAGCTCTAAATTTTACAATCACAGACTAACTAACTAATCATTTCCATCTGTCTTTGCAGCCTGTAGACTATGAGACCAAAAGGGATTATATCCTTAGGGTGGAGGCATCAAATCTACACTTGGATCCACGTTTTATGAGCAACGGTCCATACAAAGATACAGCAACTGTAAAAGTTAAGGTGGAGGATGCAAATGAGCCCCCTGTTTTCAAACATCCTAACTACATCCTAGAGGTAGAAGAAAACTCTCCTGCTGGCACAGTCGTGGGACGTGTTCATGCTGAAGACACAGATGCTGCCAAAGTTCCTATTAAGTAAGAGGATATTATGAAACATAGCATTTCTTTAAATACAGCCATTAGGTCTGTATTAAATTAGTTGATTTTGCTTATGATTATCTATCTATACTGTTAATTTTTAATTACCGCTCAATGTTAGTACTTAATATTACTGCTATTCTTGACTTAGTACAACACTAAATTTAAAACTTAATTCATAAATCTTACATGTAGTTTGAAATATGGTAACAACATTTTCAACACGTGACAAACTCTCTACCTCCTCAGCTATCTAATTGATCGCCACACTGACCTTGAGAAGTACTTCAGCATTAATTCTGAAGATGGTATCATTAGGACAACGAGACCACTCGACCGAGAGCTCATGCCTTGGCACAATATTTCTGTTACAGCCTTTGAAACTGGTAGGTCTTCATGTTTTTATTATTACAAAACTGTAAAAGAACTAATGTATACTTAAAAACTTGTAACCCAAAATAGAAGAGAATTAATAAGAAGGAACAATGTTAAAGTTTAAGCTCACATTTTAAATGTGGAATGAACTACATTCTAGTTTATATACGAAGTACCACAACACAGATTATATTTGTGATCAGTTATATATGCTGGTATATATATATCAGTTCTGTCTGCTGGTTTTCATTGTAACTGAACAAGCTAAATCAGCTAGATACTAGCCTAAGTGAACTAATTTAGCATAATTTTCCATCTTTTCAGAGATTGTTGCTTTGATTAAATCTAGAAAACCTGTAGAAGTCAAGGGGAGTGTGCATGCTGATGTGCAAACTGCTGCGGAATAGGCCAGTGACTTTAAATCGTGATGCTTCCATCTGCATCAGATTCTAGCAGTTTGGAGTGATCTGTCGACTTCAATAAGTTAATGGGTTTTCCACAACGTTTTGTTAACAGCCATGGTGATTTGCTGTAGCTGTGGGAAAGCGATCCCTCCAAAATCCTGCAACATAATTGCAGGATGGAAAGCCTGGATGACTTTAAAGAATGCACAGAGCAACTTTCTATACATCCGTATCTAGAATGTGTAGTTGCAATTCTTGTAGCTTCATCCTTAGGGGGTATTGAGAAGCCCAATAAAATATTTCCTACAAGCATATCACTACTTCTCAGAAGACCATACTCAAACAGTTCAATAATGTAGTGATGCATAATTAATAATTAGGATGAACAAGTATTTTGCATCTCTAAAGTGTTTTGGAATTTAATATGTCCTAATCTACAATTTCTTCGTTTGTAAATTACTTGGTATTATGCATTTTCACATCATTCTGTGTTATTGTTTCTGCTAAGATTACTACCTTGAAGAACAGAAGAGGCAGTGTGCCAGGAAATCAAGCAAAGCTATAATTCAGGCAGGGAACTCACTTTAAACCCATTAAATGCAATTCAGCAACACTTAGGCATATTTGTGATGCATTTCAGTGTAGTATACTATATGCATCACTTACCCATGTAGCTTTTAAGCCATTAGATAATTAATAAACATCATTCAGTGGATAAATTGGTAAAAAAAAATAGGTTTCCTCAACCATCATGTTTTGCTTTAGAATTTCCTACCTTTACATGTATTATATCCTGCTTACTTAATACAAATGCAAAAGCTAGTTCTCCTTTTCATCGTTTGTTATATAATATGCCATACATGGTTATTCTTGTCTAGCTTAGATGCAGTGTAATTATTGTACATCACAGTTTATAGATTACAAAGACAGAAGTCTGAAAACCTATTACTGTTTTCTGTCACTAGGGCTACTTTAATACTCTGAGAATAGATATCATTTTATAACTTTATTGGTTATCCAATGCGCTCTATTTACACTATCTGGGATTATTAAATTCATATCTTCAGCTTCATTCATCAAATAATCTTTAGTGATCTTCATAAATGCTTTCCGTGGCAACAGATTTTTATTACATCTGTGTTCTTCATATCATTTTATAGGAATTACAAAGACGGTTGATGAGACACCTCTTTATTACTGTTAACAACTTTGAAATCTAAAATTAAGTTTTGTTATTTTGTGTTACTGAAACAACTTCGTGTGGTATCACCATGAATATTTGATAAAAGGAGATCTGCAATAATACTGTATTTACATGGCATGTAACTCTTATCACAAAGCTATGATATTGATTAAATTATATTTTATTATTACAATGTGGGAATGTTTTTGCTTTTGAAGTCACAAACAAAAGAAAGTCACAAAGAAAATACAATTTTTATTTTTTCTTGCTAGATTCACATGACTTTGAACAAAAAGCCAAAGCTCATGTTGCCATTAAGGTTAAAGATGTTAATGACAATGCCCCAGAATTTGCCACCCAGTATGAAACATTTGTTTGTGAGAACACCCCAGCTGGTAAGGTAAGACTACATTCATTGTAAGCAAAATAAGGTAAACTACATCCAGGGTTAGAAACATTTAAATACAGCCAATAGTAATTAAACTTTGATGTAAGAAATATGTTTTACATTACCTTAAACTATCACCAGAAAGTTAGTTCATTTTTTTCTTTATTTCTATAGTTGATATGAAGATAAAAATGCATATTTATAATATATGCCTGCACAGAATAAAACATCTTAAAATAAGGCGCTCAAGGTGATTTGAACATATGACTGTAGATAATAGGTTGTAATATGTCTGCTCCAGATGTAAATTGAATCATTTTCTAAGGAATCAAATAACTAGAAATAAACAACTCGGAAGTTTAACCGGAGGGTTCTTTTAGTGACAGTAAGATATGTTTCTCTTCCTCTTAATTTTTCCAAACTCAACTCACAAAAGTAATATAAAGCTTTTTTCATTTGCAATGATGAATATTGTTGGCTTAAATAAGTTCTGTCTTCTTTTTTCTCAAGCTTATTCAGACAATCAGTGCTGTGGACAAGGATGAAATGAGCATCAGACAGCACCTACGTTTCAGTATTGCTCCAGAGGCTAGTAACAACCAGAATTTCACCCTTAGAAATAACAGAGGTCAGTGTAACATTGCTCTGAACTGTGACTTTTTTGTACAAGTGTTGAAATAATTTTATATTTTACTTAATCTATTTTGATTTAAGAGAAATAATCACACAGATTAGGACCGGAATTAGGAAGTGGAATTAAATTAGCAAATTTCACTTTTACCATCTATGTTTTCTATGCATATTTTGGTGTATGTTTTTTATGACAGATTTGGTGTTGGCAAGCGCGTGAACTTTGGTTTGCTCCCAGCAAATCAGTTGGCATAGTTTAAAAACTTTCTAATTAAAATAGGCGTTCTTTTTTTTACCTTTTGTTGGTATGTCCAAGGGAGCAGTGACTAAAACATTGATTTCAACATTTTTTAAGTCTCCACCTGCTGCTTTAGGGATGATACAAGACTCATACAAGCTGTCATCTTTTTTCATAAGAGCGAAGCGTAGTGCTTTGAAATTATTATTATATGAAAAACGCTTTGTTAAGATGTTAAAATATTCAGAAAACTAATTCTTCAACCTTCAACCAAAAAAAATTGAAAATAAAATTTAAATAAATAAGAAGCAAGGCATGTTAAATATAAAAGATTTACCTTTGAAAACTTAAAAGAGGATAAGCGTCCAAGAGTACTAGTAAATGATTTGTACCCTAGCTTAATATGTCCAGCTCACATCTAATCTAAATGTGTAAAAACATCTTACATTGAACACCAAAATGAGTAATGTTCTTTTGTTGATATCATGCAATAACTAAAAGTAATTATGCACTGTCATAGCTGCATTATTAATTATATTATGTGCATTCTCTTAATACCCTGTATCTTATGCAATATTTTTAAAGAGAAGTCATTTTAAGCATAGAATTTGAAATTTAAAATGTAGAGACCAGAAGTACGTAAACGCATTTATACTGCTATACAAGATTCATTCCCTTAAACTTTTAATGAAAGAAAACGATTGATTTATATGCAGTATGCATTTTACACTAGTTTTCTCATTGAACAAATGAATGACAAACTGTTAAAGAGCTTATTTGTCCTGATATGACGAAAAACAAATAATGAAAAATGATGGGTATATACCAGATGTACATAAAGTTTTGGAAAAAAATACAATTTTAGGTCTCACACAGATATTTTGGTTTATCCTTTGGGTCTCTTAATTCTCTTAATTACTTAAAATTAATTTAAAATAATAATAAGAAGGAAATAATAGTGTTTTGATTTTAACAGACATTTAAATCAGGGTATAAAACAAGATAACATGCATCACAACACGGAGACTGAAAAAAATGACTACAGCTAGGCCAAGTTAACTTAAACTACTATGGTTCTGTTATGTACAGAGCCAGGGAGGGGTCATCAGTAGGATAAAAGAGTTATTGAGGGAACAATTTATAATTAATGTGCATGAAATAACTAAATAGTTCCCTATTTAGTTTCTAACTCTTTCCTTCACAAGGACAGGTGTGGCACTAGCAGTGAAAGAGAGGCGCATTCCTAACTAGTAGTTCAAGACTACAGTAGCTACAGTACCCTAATAACTCATCCCCAAACCAAAATAAAAATCAGTTTATCTCTATGCATTATCCTAATCTACAGCAGTGTCAGATAGTTAGCCTTAATTGTACTAATATAAAGACACAGTAACGTGTTAACTAGTGTTTGATAGCATTGTTATTAGGAGTTAGGGACAATGCTGGCATTTTAGAAACTTTCTATGTGCATGTGACTACCATGACACAAAGAAAACAAAGCAAAGAGAAAACATTATTTTATGCTCACGGATTAAAGAAAATTAAGGAATGATTTCATTATTTCGTGCACACAAATGAAAGAAAACGAGGGAAAGATTTTGTTATATACACAAATTGTAAGTCTTTGCCATTTTTTTAAGTTTACCTTTGGCATTGCATGTTTGTCAGTCTACAGTATGTGCACTGATGAATGGATACGCTAACCTGATATATCCTCTATTTTTTAGATAACACAGCAAACATCTATTTGAGCCGTAAAGGCTTCAGCCGACAGACACAGGATCTCTTTCTTCTGCCGATTGAGATCTCTGACAATGGTAACCCCTCACTGAGCAGCACCAACACCTTGACTATCCGTGTTTGTGGATGTGACAGCGATGGAACAGTGTTATCTTGCAATGCAGAGCCCCACATCCTACCTGCAGGACTGAGCACTGGAGCCCTTATTGCAATCCTGGCATGCATTGTAATATTGCTAGGTAAGTAATATGAACACCCTTTTACAATGCTAGTATTTCTCTGAGCTCTTGCGCAAAGCATCCCTTCAATACTCCCAGAAACAACTTTAGAGACCCTTTGATTTTTGTTGGGAAACAGTAGTGAACAACATATTTTTTGTATCTTGGGTGATATTTGTTAAACATTTTCTATATCTATTTTCATTCTTAAATCACATATATTGCTTTTCAAAATTATTCAACCCCTTCTTGTCCATCTATTTTTGATCTGCTTCATCCAATACAGGATCATACCAACAAAACAGGTGCAAGGCAAGATACACCCTGGATGCGATGCCTGTGCATCACAGGGCACACAAAGACACAAACATGCACCCACTCACTCCAGGGCCCATTTTGCTGCCATGCAGTGCCGGAGCCCTGGATTCAATTCCAGCCCTGGGGTGCTCTCGGCTTGGAGTTTGTATGTTCTCCCCAAGTTCATGTGGGGTTCCTCCAGGTGTTCTGGTTTCCACCCACAGCCGAGAGACATACTTGTAGGTTAATTGGTTTCTGGGAAAATTAGCCTTGGTACAGTATGTGTGTTATCTGTCTGCCCTGTGATGTACTGGCTTCCCACCAAGCGTGTGCTCTGCCTTGTGTCTTTGCTTGCCAAGATAGGCTGTGATCCTGTGACTGTTTAGCAATTTTGTCTAAATAATTAAAATAAACTTTCTGGGAAAAGGAAGAAATTAAGTAAATAAATTAATGTTGTAAAAAAAATTTTTGACTTGGCAAGCGGGCATCATTGCTACCTTACAGCTGTGGGGTCCCAGGTTTGATTCTGTTTTGGGGTGCCTTTTGTATGAAGTTTACATCATTTTCTGTATATTTTTTTTATCCCCATAGCCATGTGTATGTTCATCGGGAGTTTTGGTTTCATTCCTTCCACAGTGTAGAGACAAAGGTCTAGGTTAATTAACATCTCTATATTGTCCTGTGATTTTGTCTGTATGGTTCCTGTGTGTGTGTGAATACTGCCTTCTGCACATTGTTAGAGTGTGGCCCCTGCATTGGAGTGATAATTGAAAATGGAAAGATGATTCAGGCTTCATTTTCTGCTTTTGCATTTTTTATTTGTTACAAACACTGTATGAGACATAAACATATATTGACATAATACAACATTATTATCTAACGTTAGTATTTACCGATGTCGGTACTAGAGATTATTGAAATTTAATTTAAACATTTTTCTTTCTCTCCTATTAGTGATAGTAGTCTTGTTTGTGGCTTTGAGGAGACAGAAGAAGGAGCCTCTCATCGTGTTTGAGGAGGAGGATGTGCGAGAGAACATCATCACCTATGATGATGAGGGTGGAGGTGAGGAGGACACAGAGGCCTTCGACATTGCGACGTTGCAAAACCCTGATGGTGCCAATGGCTTCTTGCCACGCAAAGACATCAAGCCTGAGATGCAGTACCCGCTCCGTCCTGGAGTGCGACCTGTGCCCAACAGCGTTGATGTGGATGATTTTATCAAGACTCGTATCTCTGACGCAGATAATGACCCTACTGCACCCCCTTATGACTCCATCCAGATCTATGGCTATGAAGGTCGAGGATCCATTGCTGGTTCTCTCAGCTCTCTCGAATCAGCCACCACAGACTCAGACCTGGACTACGACTACCTCCAGAGCTGGGGCCCGAGATTCAAGAAGCTTGCTGATCTCTATGGCACCAAAGACCCTGCCGATAACGATGACTCTTAACGGCTGGAAGGTTCCTTCAGTGCCCCTACAGGAAGCGTAGTCTTAGTTCACTATAAGTATACTACTAGTTCATCTATTTATAGTAAACAATTTTTTTCTCTTAAGTATACTTGTAGTATGCTACATTCTGATAAGGGGTCTGAATTTGAACTTTCTAAGGGGAAGCCAAAATAAGTAAAAATGAAGAAAAAAATAACCTCAGTGGGATGTACTGATATGTAACAAACAAATCTGAGACATTGTGATAACATCAAAGAAAAGTTCAGTATGTCACTTTTTAAGATTATGGTTAATATAGGCTCGGCTTTAATGAAGCTTGCTGTGGGCGGAATTCAAATTGCAAAAGGAAAAGGAATTGTTGATACTGTGAAGGAGCTCACAAAGGAAAAATGGTTGCCTTACATAAAAAGAACAAACAGAAACAGAAAAAAACAGAAAAACAGAATGATATTGATCGCTTCTGCAGTACTTCCATCATGCATATGGAGTACCCTTTCATTCTAAGAGTTTTCTTTCACCTGAAGTTGGATTAAAAAGAAACTGGGACTATTCCCATTTTTTCTTCTTTTTAAATTCAGAAGACAAAGTTCCCACTCCCACCAAATAAATTTTCAATCACAATGAACAAGCTGTGAGCTCAAATATCGCCTTAAATAATGGACTCTTCTGCAGCGCAGTGTATTTTTTGTAACTTGAAAAATATTATCCTGAAGCAAGCTTAAATCCATATAACGTCTGTACAGTACAATGTGCAAATTATGTCTCTTGAGGATCAAACTTGCGCCTATTGATTCTTGTAAATCTCCTTTTTTATTATAATAATTATTGTTATTTAGGTTTCTTTATTTCTTTTTTTTCTCTCCTGGCATACATTATACTCTCACGTATGCTAGAGAGAAAAAAACAAGTCTGTCCTGTCGCAGTGAAAGACGCCTAATTTCTATGTCGATTTTATGGTACCTATTTGTACAATTTTAAAAGTTCTTATTTTAGTATACATACAGATATCAGTATTTCAACATGTAAGAAAATGTTACAACATCACACTTATATTTTATGAACATTGTACTGTTGCTTTAATATGTGCTTCACTCTAAGAAGCAAAAACTTTTAAATAAATGCCCTTTTTATAAAAATAATTTTACCGTGGTGCTAATAAATATGTAGTAACAAGATGATTTCATATTTTTTTAGGTATACTACAAATCAAGTGTTTGTACCGTATCCAGTGTCCTGTATTGGTACAGTATCCTGTATTGTCCTGAACAAGTTGAAAGGAATACAATAAAATGGCATTAATATACATTGATCTAAGTCAGATATCTGAAAATCAGAGGGTATTCAAAAAGCTGATATTGTAGAAAAATGTTACACTTTAATCACCCCAGTGACTTTTAACTGCAAAAACAAAGAACTGAGCATTTTGAGAAAGAACTTATTCAGCCTCTCCAATGAATTATTATTTTTCATTTAGGTACTTTGAAAACAATGGAGTGGAAAGAGAATAAAATTAAACTATTTGATGCTTGAAGGAAAACAGTTTAAAATCACTTTTGCCATGGGAAAAAGATGTAAATAAAAGAAATAAAACCTATTTCATCCTGGACCTACAGCCATATTGTTAAATGTTTAACAGAACAATGGTTAGTGGGTTATATTCAGATTAACACATGTAACAGTAATCTTCGGTGAATTGTCTTCTCCTGTTTCCTTTAAATCCTGTTTTCTCATAATCAGGAAAGTCAGGTCTATTGCTTTATGTGAAGTTTAATGAAGGAATGTTATATCACAGACTTAAACCCTTATAGAGCTGCAAGGATTAGGAAATATGAGCCCTGAAATGGTCTCTCATGCCTCTACAACCCCCCTCCTCATTTTAATGGGCATTTGCTTTTATATAACAAACTGCATTTATATAATTGGAAATATTATTTTCTGTACTGCAGCACACGAATTAAGGTATATTATGTGTCTTCTTCTATGTTATGCAAATATTACAGCCAGACTAAGACGTTGTTAATGATTTGCATAGTGTTTTTAAAAAAACATTATAGTAAGTACTATTATCAATAGTACGCACAGAAACAAACCAATATGTGGCAGATTTCCTGATCAGCATTAATTTCTGGAAATGAAAATGTCTATACCACTACCCATATGTGGCTTTTCACTTATAATCACAGCCCTTCTTTTGCCTGTCAAGCACTGAGAAGGTCGTATTTTTCCGATACGAGGCCCAGTTTTTGCTGAATATCTTTTAGCAGCTTAAGTTTGTTTTTCCTGTCAGTCTAAACTACTAGTGAAGTGGAGACAAAAAGATCAAGAATATACATTCAACTAATAGTATCATAATAATTATTTAATCATTATCCATTTGAAAAAGACAATTTCCAGAGAGAATGGATATTCACACAATAATGCATTTTCACCCAATGCACCAATTAAATCACCCAATAACTTGTTTCTGTTTTATGAATTATGTGTGTCTGGATTTACTTCTTGCTCTTCCGCAAGGTTATCTAACTGAGCAAGGCAGATGGTTTAAAACCCAGCAGTAAATTTCTAAGGTCACATGGTGCCTGCCCACAGCTGGTGTTGCTTACAATCACCCATTATAGATTTTTTATTGAACCCCCAAGCTCCCCTGTCTCCCCTCTTGTTGTTCCAGAGCACTACAGACTGATCTTTCACTCTATTAGCAGCCCAACACAGGCTATTATCTTGCCCTTGAGGATACTTGCAATCTAATGTTTCTCCCTGGATTTCCGGTGTACTTCTGACCTTTGTCTTTTTTCTTGCTCAGGAACGATGCATTTCAACAGACTGTCCGTCTCTTATCTCTCTGATCCATAAAAAAAGTGTCAGAATCATCCCAAGAAACCATTCATCAATGGGGCTTTTCTGACACCAGCACTGCAGACATTAACTGTGCTGCTTTATTGCACCTGCAATTTGTTTAAGAGGTTTAAAATGGAGCCATGTTTTACTTTTTCATCCTCATTCTTGCAAAAGAGACGTCTTGGATTAGTAGCACTGGGAAATGGCAATGATGTTTTTTTGGAGTAAGAATAGGTTAACCAAAAGCAGCAGTGTTTGAGGACAAAGTTGTTTGGTTACAATATACTGTAAATATATAGATGTAACTAGGCTTGGCTTAAAATATTATTCTTCTCATGAGGTTTTGTATGCAGCATAATGAATTAAAAAATCTAGTCTGGAAATTTTATTTAGCGATATTTACATTTTCCTATTAAATGAAGATAAGAAACTTTGCTCAAATCAAGAATTAATTCCACTGAATGTATAATGTCCGTAAGAGATTTCAGACGTAAGGAAAACAGACAATTTATGAAAAGCATATTCTAGAACACCACAGATACTTGTAGAAATATATATCAATGGTGTGAAAAGCTCAAAACAGTCAATAAAAACAACCATTTTAAACATATCTCCAAAAGGTAAGACTAAGGAAAAAAAATCTTCATACATCTCTAAAGAGCAGCATTAATTAGAATTCTCTTTTCAGATAGAACAGTGAGATATGTATTAAATTAAGGTTGAGTTAAAGCTGGATCTTTAGTGTTGTACAATGAATAACAAACATTGTCTGGAATATGAGAATTGAAAAACTGCACTGGACATAGGTGCAGACTTTTTTAATCAGATAAAAAACTTAAGAAGCAGATGGGGAACAAACTCAAATTCCTTTGAAAAGTTAACACACCACTTTATGCACTACCGATCAATTCTACTTTGATGTTTTGAATTTCTGAAAAGTCCATTTTTCCAAGGAATACATTTGGCATGGTCATTCATCCCTGATTTTATTGTCCCTAATGCCTATATTTGGCAATAGGAGTAACAAAATATTTTATTTGAGGGTCTAATTTTATTTTAACACCCATGTTAGACATTATTTATAAGACCTCAATTGATAGGCTCTTAACTATATATTAATAATAATTAATAATAATTGCTTACACTTATATAGCGCTCTTCTGGACACTCCACTCAAAGCGCTTTACAGGTAATGGGGATCCCCTCCACCACCACCAATGTGCAGCATCCACCTGGATGACAAACCTAATCCAGTGGCATAGTGTCACATGTCCACCAGTGCTTCAGAACTCCTCATCACAGTTAACTAATGATGATTCAGGCTCCAATTAGTGAACACCTACAATTACTTTTATATTCAAAAACATATATGCGAATGATTAATCAGCACATTGAATTACAGGGGGTGCCTAATATTTTTGGCTGAGGCTGGATGCATGGTGCCTGGTTTGTCAACTGCTTATTTTCTCAGGTGATTCACCATAAGTTTGAGAACTAAGTTCAGGTGTCCTAACAAGGGCTTCAGGTGTTCCCTGTAGACTTTTTAACAGCTATCCACTTACATGCTACTAAGATTACTGGGTTAAGTAAATATTTATCTTGCCATCTTGCCATACGATGGCTGGAGTTTAGGTCTGTAAATTATGCAGTATGAACATGACAGTGACATGAAATCTGATGAAGGCCCAAATGGTGCCTCTTAACCGCTGCTTGTAACAGAATATAGCTAATTGTGTTTACATTGGCAAATAACCCTGAGCTTTAAATAACTTGTGATTGCGTGCAGTCATTAAGTAAGGGCATTTTTAATGTGATCCCTGGGATATCAGTAGGCCCCTTGGGTAGCCTGCAAAATTAAAATTAAACAAATTAATCACATAGTTTGACAGTTTATCACCTGGAATCCAAATATAAATCAAATTTTCCTTAAATTTCTATTTTTTTAAGACACATTTTGAAGAAGCTATATTTGTATGTCTCTACTAAATTGAAAGAACATTACCTAAGATAGATTTTTATGCAAACTATACTTTGGAAAGTATAAACATATATTTATACTTTATTAATATAAATACGTTTTTAATAAGCTATCTATGAAAAAGACTTGGTGTTTATTCTTATTCTGAAAACAATAAAATGGCAAACAGAATGTTAGGATTATTGCTTATATTCAATTATTCAAAACCTTTTAAAGCATTGACAATTAACCCAACAGACTTCAGCAGGAACAGTAATGAATCATGAATAAGAGGTATTTTAAAGCTAATGACATTTAAAACAGATTACACGAGGCAGCAAACAAAGGGTTCTTGTAGTCTGGCACAAGATTCCCAATCAAGCTGTCCAAGCCAGTACTGTTGTTTATTTCAAGAAACAGCTGGATGAAATCAGTTGGATCAATGTGGTACTGTACTAAAACTAAATGAGCAGGATGGGCTGAGGAGCCTCCTCTCATTTGCAAACTTGTTCTTAAAAATCTAAAGAAAAAGTTCTAAGAGTTCATATATGTTAAAATTAGTTTCATAATTTTTCCTGACATATTACATTACAACATTTTGTTGGGTTCTAAAGTACATGTACTTCTAATAAACTTTATAGGATAAGGAGTGCGCTTACTTTCCAAGCAACACTTTTTGTGTTGTCTTCAGACCTTAAATAGATCGTCTCCACGTTCCATTTAACCTTAAGGCATTATTTCCTCTTCCTTAAATCTGTCACAGTTCACAATTTAAAATATTGTTGATATGACTCTAGATAAATGTTTTGTCTGGGTCATTAATTATGAGATCTGACCAAATTTCAATGTAAATGCAGATTTCAATATTGGGATTCAGTTGTTAATACTAAAAATCTGAACCACATTCTGCTCAGATATAAGAAGAAGGCTATAATAAGCAATTCAATGCAATTGCATTCAGCTTGTGATCATTTAATTAACAGGTTAAAAAAGTATTCAATAACTGTGAAAGAGTTAACTTTTATACATTCTTTAATGTTTTGTATATATCTGTGAATTGTTCAAGAGTATATAAAATTATATTCAGCTTTAATTTTGATTCTCAGAGAGGATCAAGAGGAAATTGAACACAAGATGGAAAAAAAAATTGTACATTATCTTTGCCTTCCATGTCTTTTATGTCAGAAAATACAAAAAAGTATGTGAAACCTTAGATTGCTACATTTTTTTCTTAAAATGTCAATTGTGTATATGAGAAAAATAATTAAATATATGCATCTGGTGCGAAATGTGTAGGCTGACAACATTCACAGAAGTTTGCAATTCTAGCAGCACCTACCAGCACCTAAATGAAAAGACATTCTGAACATTTCTATAAAAATAAAGACAAAAAAAAACAGACAGTAAAATGACAAACATCTTTCTTTTAAGTTGATAAATCCATTTTTTTCTCTAATATAATGTCAGATTCTTTTTTACCTTCTAAATCTACTAGGCTAGTATCCATT